GATAGATAGATAGATAGATAGATAGATAGATAGATAGATAGATAGATGTCAGCCTAGAAGTTATGGAATACAATTATAGTTTAAATGATTACAATCAGTTTAACGATCTGATTGCTTATGTTTATGTATACTATTTTTCAGTTAAAAAAAATCTTAAACACATAACTTGATTTTACTTGCACCTCGTAACACTGAAATACACAAACTATCACATCCAGGACCACCTTTGGCACCGTGGAACGTTTGGTATGCACCCTTCAATAAACAAACAGTATCAGAGGTAGAGACTGCGTTTTGATTTAAAGTGTTTAATGCAATAACTGCTGGATTAATCTAAATTTTGATAAATCGATTATATTTCCAAGCTAAAAATCAGACTTTTCATATGTTTTACTTTAAAGGCGTGGACGCTGCTGTGCTTTTGAGCAACCGTGGTAACACCTCTCCCCCCTCAGAGACGAGCAAATGGTTTGTCCCGTGGCCTCTCCGTCAGACCTGCGCAGCGGTGACTGCAAATCAATGAAGCCGCCAGTCAAAGGAACAGGGCTGGGCGACCGAAGTTGGGCCGATTCACGGAGGCTTTCTGAAACTGAATAGACAATAACAGGGACATGTACACAGCAAGTATGCACAACAACTTTTGTTTCTCGCCCTTTAGCGTTTTAAGGAGGATATCATTGGCGACCAGTTTTTAACTAATACGCACAGTTTGATTAATTGCGTGGTTTTCTTTTTAACGTCACCTAAAACTTCCTTCTGAGGATGATTTTTGCTAATACTGGGAACCCTCTAAGGACTCCGTATCGCAAACAGGTAAATACACTAATATTTACTAGATACCAGACTAAGACTTTCACTAAGCTGACTCAGTGGAGGTCGAATCAGTTTGCTTGACAGTGGGGTGTTAGTTCTAAGTTATAACGTTAGCTTAGAATATGTATGTATATGTATATATATATATAGTGGAATATATTCATTATTTGAAACAGCAAAGAATAAAAGCTCTCGTTTATAATGTAATATCGACTCTATAAGGAGGTGCTGTGGTCCGGCACAAGCAGACTGATGACATGGTAATGTGGCTTAAAGTACATTATTACAGCATCCCATCACCTTTCAATGGTAAAGAACTTCCTAAATTCCCAAAACTCTGACCGAACAAAGCCATTTGTAATAGTTTGTTGATTTGGAGCGGTGACGAGAATAAGTAATTTCTGTGTCAGTGCAAAATGCCATTGATTACCTCTGCTTTCATGTTATGTTATGATTCTCCCTGTTGTGCATTGTTTTACAGTATAGACAACTAGCTTTTACCTCATGGATTCACTTTGCCACAATTACAGGGAGCTCTTGAAAACTCTCAAAGCCCAAAAATATTGTTGGACCCATTTAGTCTACACTGCTCATGGTGCTGTCCTGTGAGTAGAGCTTCATGGGCGAGGCCTGTTACTGGAAACCCTGTATATTTCCGGCGAGGGTATGACAGGCTCTGCTGGTCTGGAGCTGGCTGATAAGATGCCATCCTCTCCCTGTCTCAGTTCTTTACAGTACTGCATCTGAGCAGTCGGGCACTAGTATGAAAAAAGTGTCTAAGAGGCTTTCAGAAAAAAGGTGGATGTCAGTACTAAATCTCGTACTTTGAGAAATGCGATCCGAGTTGCTGTTGCTCCCTTCCATGGAGAAGTTACTGAAATTAGTATTGAGCATGCCTCAGTCTTTTGGCAACTCATTTGTGGCGTGTCGTTTGGTGTGTATTGTTGTAATTGCAGATTGCGAAACACTTTTGTGACCTTATGGACTGTAATTGCCGGAGGCTTAAAATTATATTCAACCTGGAGCTTCTGATTTTTTCTCCCTTTCTTCTTTGTGATGAACTAATGGCAAACCGTTTCTGCTTTAGCTGCAAACAATATCAGACACACAAATTAAATGTGCTCCTCCCACTAATTCAAACTTGAAACCTCGACTCAGGAGACCGCCGAAGCTTCTTTGCATCTGATCTGATTCCATAGCCTCAAAAATAAAGGAATTCAGACATTTTGAAGTTCAGAAATTAAACTGTAATTTCTATCTTTAAATTGATTTCTGAAATGTCTGCCCTGCTGGACTTCTTTGATGAAAGCATTTGGACATTAAAAAATTCAAATTTGCAACAGTTCCTCTTGCAGCCTGTAAAGAGGGAAAAGGCAAAAGTCAAATGAAAACACTCATCAGGTCAGTTGAGGCGCAGGACCAGTTGGTCATAAGAGAGGATCACCTGGACTAAAGGCCCAACTAGAGTTGCTCAGTCCTGTCACCACTTCATTCTTGGTATTCCATCAACTTCCTCTCTGCTTGGGATCCCTCAGCAAAGGGGGTTGGGGGATAATCAGTGTCAGATAGTGAGGAGGAGGATAAATCCCTGAAGGGAGAAGTGCTCTTGGACCAGGATGTCTGTATTTTGTAAGCAGAAATCACTAAGTTGCTCAATCACTGTCTCCTTGCTCCCAAATGGAGCAGCTTTATAACATGCAGGGGCTACAACCCACGACTGTCTTCATTTCAAATAAATTCTTAAACACATCCAAACCATTGTTGAATCAGTTTAAAAGTGTGCTGATGTTAAGATGCTTAGCCTTCTCCAGAAGAGGCTTTGAGTGCCATGGGGGCATGGTGACATTTATGGGACTCTAATGTCAGAGCTGGAGGTCCCTGTGGGCAGATTGCACCTCCATCGCATGTGGAGGTGTGACACACATTGCTGTGTATAAATCACTGCCCAGTAAAACCTTTCTCCTTGAACAGGAAAGAGTCCCACACAGATGCACTTTTTAATGGGTGACTTCCATGGTGAAATACCAAAGCTTTTAGTGAGGATTCAATTCAGACTGCAGTGTTTTTCTTCTGCAGCCACCTGTTGGCCCATTGTCTCACCCCATGGCTCCACCTAGCCCCAGTACCAACAACAACAGCAGCAGCAGCAGCAGCACTGGAGGATGGGACCAACTCAGCAAAACAAACCTCTACATTCGAGGCCTGTCCCCCTCAACCACAGACCATGACCTGGTCAAGCTTTGTCAGCCGTGAGTACCATGCTTTGCTTTAATGTTATCAGGTATTGATCCACCGGGATGGTTTTTGTTTTTCTTGGTCCTGGTTCAATCAGTAGAGCCCCCTTATTGATATGAAGTGGTGAGAGAGTGAAAGGGAGCGGAAACGTTAAAAGAAAGAAGCTCACTTGCTATTTTATTAAGGCCGTTTTAAGTTTATTGCAGAATATACACATCCTTTGATGTATTCTATGCACCATTGGAGCTAGTGTAGATACAGAATTGGACTTTATGAAATTAAAAAGGTGTCTGAAAGACCACAACTTGAAAAGGGAGATCAAATTGCTTTGAGCTGTTCCGTGTCTTCAGTTGTGGGCTGTTTGTTTCATGAATACCTAAAAAGACAAAGGGGCAAGCCCCATGCTTCAGAAATGTCATTTTCTTCTTTCAAGTCTTCTCTTAAATCTTCTTTCTGGATCAAACAAAGTTTCAAATGAGGTATTTCAAAATTTCATAAGAACATCAGTGCAGTTGTGTACTTTGAGGATGTCTTTAATTTTTTAAAAGAATCTTTGAAAAATTCTGAAATGGAAAAACTTTGGATCTAATAGTTGTAAAACTTTTCGGGATGCAGTCTCGGTCATTGCAACTTGTTTCGGTATGCATGTCATGTTGAAGGTCCTGTTGTACCACTTCCTGCGTAACCCAATTAGCAAAGATGACTTTTTAAAACTCTCAGCTCTCAAATATTTGAATGATATAAAGTGACCCTTAGAAACCACTCATCCGTGTACAGTACAAGTACATGCACAGCATTTTTCATGGCACAGTGAGAGCAACTCATGCAATCGCCGCATGATTTGAGATTAGAGTTAGAGGGCAAAAAGGTCACAAGTTCACGATCTTTCACCCGTTTTAGCGTCTTCTGTAATCCTTGGCTGAAATATCCTCTCGGTTGGGTCCAGAGTACTTTGTGGCCTTGGTCAGAAGTCCCTGCAGATTATGTAGGTCAAAAGCCTTCACTTTATTTAAACATTTTTTTAGTCCCTGCATCATAAAGGAATGGAGTCTTGAGTCCTGTACAGAGGACTCTTGAGTTATCTGACTGTTTTTCTCCCAGTTCTCACACCTTGTATCTCACAACCCCCCTCCACTTTGATGAAGTATCTAACCACATCCAGTACAAAGCTATTCATGTTTTTCTCCCTGTTGAAAGACCTCATGACAACGATCTTTTGTGTTTTTTACTTGCTGGCCACATGACTGCTTTTAATCAACTCCTGTGGGATGGAGTCCATACTCTGTCTTCTTATTGGACGTTATCAACAGCACTTTCCTGTGCTCTTCATGTAGTCTTAAAGCAGATCTGCTGAAACTATGGCAACACCATAAACAAGGTCTGACTTTTGAGTCTCCGGGTTTTTTTGAGGAGTGGTTTACCCACACTTAAAAACAGGTGTTGATGAAACAAAGTTGGCCTGAATATAAAATTAAGATATAAAAATATATATATATGAATGACAACTGTATGCCTTCACGTGTGCATCCTAAAAGATGGTAGGCTTTTCTGTCCTAACAGCATGCCAGCTTTACCAAGATGGTATACAAGTGGCTCAGCCTCTTTGAAGAGCGACTTTGTTTGATACAGTTTGGTTCAGTGGTTTAGTTTGGCTTGAGAAAAAGGGACTGTTTGAGATTAGTGTTATGCGCACATGATGGGGTTTTCAGCACCGCACAGAAACCACTTCCTGTTTCTCATATTTTTGCAGTGATGTCATGGCTCGTTGCTCAATCCTCCCTCTGTGTGTTCTTTACAACTGACTTCATCTGGTGCTTAGCGCCCCTAACAACGCCTCTCCTTCCTGTTTCTTCCTTAGGTATGGCAAAATAGTATCAACAAAGGCCATCCTGGACAAGACTACAAATAAATGTAAAGGTGTGTGGAAGCAGTTTTTTCTCAACTCTCTCTTAACAGTACCCTAAAATCTTTGAAGGACATGCCATGTTGGAATATCCCTGCACATTAGCCTACTTTTTCCAAGCAGATCATTGTGACCCAGTGTATACATTTTACTAGAACATGACGTCATTCACCAGCTTTTTGGTTTCAAATGATCAGGCCAGTTTAGGAGAGAGAAATGTTGAAAAGATACCACCAAGATCGGGTTATTTTAAGCCCCAGCCCTTGTCTGTTGGTGTGTCACAGTTGTGGATACTTCCTGGGAATAGTGCTCAACTCCTTTCTGAGCAACAAAAGCCTTGGTCCAGTTCTTGTGGACGATCCACCTAACTTCAGAGTTACTTACAGATTTTTTTTGTAGCAGTATTGGGATTAAGAGATCGCTTTGTCACACTCCTCTGGATTACTTAGATGTCAGTTAATCAAAGGCTTTCACTGAAAATGAAAACCTTTCAAAACCTTTCAGGCTCTCATAGAATTTTGAATATACCTGAGAGATACTTGAGCAATAACACTCTGTAACCATACATTTTAAAAACTCTCCCATTTTTCCTAAAACCTTTGTTTTCAGTGATGTTTTGAATGTAATTATTGTTTGAACTCAGTCCCAGGATCAGATGTACAAGAGGCCAGAGACTCTAGGTGCACCCTGTCTGCTCCCCTAGGAAAAATAACCGACCTGAGCGACTATAATCTGCATCCTCAGCAGTTTTTTTTTACTCTGCTTCCATGCACACACTAACAGAACACACTTATAGAAAAGTATTTAGATAGACCTGCAGGTTTTGAGAAAAAAATGCACTCATATGAAATGAAAAATTAAATTATAACTCACTGTGTGTACAGCTTTGCCACTATAGGCCCATTGCAGTCAGTTGCTGCAAGGCACAGCAGAACACAGACGCTTCACCTTTGCCTGTGTTGGAGTTGGAACATTGTCCTAAATGTGCGGCTTGTCTCCTCAGGATACGGCTTTGTCGACTTTGACAGCCCGGCTGCAGCTCAGAAGGCTGTTGCTGCCCTGAAGACCACTGGTGTCCAAGCTCAGATGGCAAAAGTAAGGATTCATTACAGACTAATCCTCATATCAAATACATATGTGTCACCCAGTAACACTGCTGTCCTCCGGCTGACTGCCGGGACATCTTAAACCTAATCCTTGTCGCATTCAATACCGGAACTGGAATCCATGGCTGCCCGTTGCACATTCAGCGTACACTGTAGACCGACACTTATTCACTGAACTGAATCATGAAGGAAGCATAGTTTGTTTTTTGTTTTTTACATGTAATATATGTGAACTGTACAACATTTCCTTAATGTTGCTCATTGTAAGATTTAATGCTGTCATTTTTCAAATTTGAATAATTTATAACAGATGTTTTATTACTCAAGATTGAATTATAAAGGGAATTTACAACATTCGCACCTATAATTGACAGCATTAGCTAAATTTTCAGTAATTCTCAGTCTCAGGTTGTTGTGTTACAAAAATAGTTAATTTGTGTGCATTAAAGTTGATTAAGGTGCCGATGACCTGTGAGCTTTGTTTTCATAATCACTTCTTTCTGTTGACTGGATTCTAGCCATTGAGTACGCTACACCTAAACAGCTTTTTCTTGTCTTTTGCCACTTTAGATGTCTTCTCACTTCACTATTTTGCCACTAAGAAATTGTCTAAAGCTTCTTATGAAGTCTGTCCTTCCATTTTTAAACAGAATTGTCTATACTTTCAGTTTCTTATAATATATGAAGGGGATATCACCTTATTTCTGAAAGCAGAAAAGAAAGTAAACAGGCTGTTGCTATGGCAACAGGAACCAGTCTGTGGAAACTGGGTGTGTTGTGGCACTTAGGTGGGACTCACAACCACTGAGCTCATTTCCATGTCTGGGGTTCTGTGGGACTTCGTAAGATGGCCTGTTGAAGCTGTTTCATGTTTTCAGTCAAAACAGGGGAAAGCTCAAGTCTTAGCAGGGAAATAAATGACATTATGAAATGTGAGACCCACTTGCTTCATTCACGCTGCTTCTGAATCTTGCTTGACCTTAAGTGTAAAAGGTTCCTTTTCCTGTTTTCTGTTGGCTGAGGCACCCTTCCGTGCTCTTTCTGTTTAGTTATTTCAGTGGTAGGTGTTGGGAAACAAAAGGCTTACCTTTCCTCTGTCCGTGTGTAGCCACAGTGAATATCTAATGAGGCATGTGAGTCAGTTCTGAAAAAGAAGGGCTGATGTGCTAGCCACATCAATTAAACATGTGGTCATTCACCTCAAACCTTCAAAGAATTAGTTTTTTAATTGAAAGCATCGATAAAGTTTACAATAAAGGCAAAATTATTATTTTCTACCAATAAAGTGGGTTCAGTTCTGTGTATATTATCCATTTTTAATACTATGAATATAGCAAATTCAGATTTGTTCTGATAATATGGCTCAATCCATGTAATTATATTGTGTGTGTCTCTTTCTTGTTTTGTTGTCTTGCAGCAACAAGAACAAGACCCAACAAACCTGTACATCTCCAACTTGCCTTTGTCTATGGATGAGCAGGAACTGGAGAACATGTTGAAGCATTTTGGCCAAGTTATATCCACCCGCATCCTCAGGGACTCCAGTGGAGTCAGCAGAGGAGTTGGCTTTGCCAGGTTGGATTCTTTTTGGGTTTTTCTCAAGTGTTACATTTCAAACTTTAACATAAAACATTTTTAAAATGTGTCAAATATGGCATAGAGTTATTAACTATTATAATAAAAGTATTTTGTGTAGTCTAACAGATGTGACACCAGGGCCAGAAAAAGAAATTCACAGAATCAATTTAAATACAGCAATGCCCTCAATGGAAACTGGTTTGAGTTTCAGAATGACTCTGTGATTTAATTAGGATGGTGATGCTGGGCTCCGCCAGTCCTACCTGTAGAACCTGACACCTGACAAAAACACTTGACAAGCAAAAAGAGACCAAACAAAAAATCATTGTGTTTCTTAGGAATGTTTGTCAGTGGGTGTGCCGTAATAGGTGTGTGTGGCTGGCCAACGCGCTCAAAGGCTGCACAAGTGCACTCTGCTGCATGCAAACACTATGGAGTTGCAGATAAAGATCTTTTCTGATACACTACTGTTTCCACTGAGCAGTTTGAGGAAAGCACCTGCACTTATCACTGATGTAGACGTGCTCCGCTTGTGTTCTGTCACTGCAGGATGGAGTCAACAGAAAAATGCGATGCAGTCATTTCTCACTTTAATGGAAAGTTCATTAAAACGCCTGCAGGTGTTCCAGGTAAGAATGTTAAAATGTTAACGTTTGGCAGCAGTGTAATTTAAAAACATGTGGGGGTCAAAAGCCTATGATGACTTGAATTGATGTGCTATTAAGGGGTGGAGTTTTATCAGAGAGCTGAAGTGGTCAGCCATATGATTAATGTCTCCCACTGGAGTCAGTGAGTCTGCTGGTAAAGAGCTCATATTCTCTCAGCCTGAAGTGGCTGTGCACAGACAAAGAGAACAAAGAGAAAGGCAGCTCTGTGTGGCCTCCGCTCCCTTTCTAAGCGTTTTAATTGGATTATTAGACTGAAATAGTCTCTGCTGGCCTTGCCTCCTTTAGGAAGGGGAGGGGACTACAGCTCCACGGTTGCTGAGCTTTATGCCTCAGTTCGCATGGAGGTTATTGAATGAGTCTTCCCTGACTTCATGTATTGAATAAGTCCATGCAAACCAATGACGGACAACACTGGGTCCAGAACCATACTGTATATTCAAGATAAATCCTTAATTTTCTGCTTTTCCCATTTATCGTCTCTGTAGCACCATCAGAACCGCTTTTGTGCAAGTTTGCCGACGGCGGACAGAAAAAGAGACAAAGTCAGAATAAATTTAACCACAACAGTCGTGGCTGGCCGAGGGACAGTGACTCCAGACTGGTAAGTCGCACCCAAAATGGAGACGAGATATTATTACAAAATATAAAAGCAGAGGCACTTTTTTCCTCACTCCTTTCTCCTAATGAATCCCTCCCTGCATTTTTATCACTCTCTGTGGAAGGAGAAAATTTAGAAGTCTGTAAAGCTCTCCAGAAAACTTATTTATAAATGGTTGCTCTCGCCACATAAAACTGATTGACAGTTGCCAGTCTTCTGCACTTGTGAACAAACTCTGTTAGTTAGATAGCTCAAAGAGATAAATTTAATCTTCAGTTGTGCAGGTGTTTATGTTCCATTGGCTCTCCACAGTTTACTGGTAAATCAGGACAACAAACACGTTAAACGTGCTAAACATACAGATTCACTGATTTAGTGTTTAATCCAATGCCAGTCTTGGCATGAAGCTGTCCCACATTGTTTGGCCTCTGGTGAGAACTCTCTCTGTGTCCAGCTCCTGTTTCCATGGTTGCCTGTTGTCTGCATCAACTTCAACAATATGGACAATTAGATTGCGTTATGCGCTTCTGCTGTGAAACTACACCTTTTTTTTCTTTTTGTTTTCCCTCCACAGGCTGGGATGACACTCACGTATGAACCCAGCACAGCTGTGATGCAGAATGGGTAAACTGGATTCATGTTGCAGCGTTGTGATCTTTTATTACTCATGTGCTTCACACTCATCGGTTCGTGAACACACGCTTGATTCCATGTCCGCAGGTTTTTTCCGCCACCATACAGTATTTCAAGCAGGATGATTGCCCAAGCCTCCATGTCTCCGTACATGTCTCCTCTGTCTACATATCAGGTTAATAACATTCTGTCTAATGAGTAATACCTGGTTCTGATCACACTGAAAAAAGACTTTTTATCGTAAACATTTAGTTTGGCCTTTAAAAGGTGTGTAACAAAAGCTCATTGGTCATTTTGTATTGTCCATGTGATCGTTGGAAATGGCATCCTTACTGTGGCTGTGTGTTTACATTGTGTGTTTGTTGATGGCCCAGGTGCAGAACCCATCATGGGTGCCTCATCAACCCTATGTCATGCAGCATCCAGTAAGCAACATCTGTGCACGCACACACTTCATCCTGTTCTATTTCTGTTGTATCCTCATAAAACACTTCCCTCTGTAGCTGCAACAGAATCAAGCCACTGTACTGTAAACAAACTGACACGATATGGGAGTGTACACATAAGGTGATATGAAATGATAAAAAGCATCTGCATGGGACTGCAAAAACAGCCTCTTTGGAGAACCTTTATAAAACATCGCCTTTGATAACGGATGCTAGATATTTTTTTGGAACAGATGGCTCTAAATTAAATTGAGGAAACGAGCTGGCAAAAACCTGCCAAAATACTTGCAGACAACTTTCTCACTGTGGATGCAGCGTTTCTTAAATGGTTAAGCTCAGCATGGTTTAAATCTCAGACAAAATGCAGAGGTCTTAGTATTTTTTATTATTCATCATAAAGAAAAATGACTTTCTCAGACTTCTTATATGAATCAGCTGCAAAAATGTTTCTGACCTGCTCTCTGTGTTCAAACAGGGTGCAATCATATCGCCCTCTATGGACCCATCAGTGTCACTGCAGCCCACTTCCATGATGGCCCCACTCACTCAGCAGATGGGTCACCTGTCTCTGGGTGGTGCAGGAACGGTGAGAAAATGAATAAGCTTGGGCATTATCATGCTTATATTGATAAAAATGGCAGAAAAAGTATTGACCTAGTCTTAAAGATGTGTCTCTGTTTCCCCTTCCTGTAGTTTATGGCCACCAACACTGCAATGCAGGGAGCATATATCCCTCAGTACGCACATATGCAGACAACAGCTGTTCCTGTCGAGGTACAGCCACTCACAACATTGTTGCCTCCAGCATGTTAAACCTGATCGCCTTTAAAACAAAACCTTGTTGTTTGGAAAAGGCAGAGGCAAATCATTCTGGCTTATCTCACTTTCTGTTCCAGGAAAATGGTGCACAATCCCAAGCGGACTCTTCCGGCAATCATTCCCCCTATTCCTACCAACAAACCAAGTAGTGCTGTGGTTACACTTTGACAATGGCGGAGAAAAAACTCACACCTACAACTCCAGTGGACAATTAGGAAAATTTCACTTTAATGCGCAGGTTTTGCAACTTCTAAGTGACTATTTTTGGGATCATTTACAGAGAGTTTATCTGAGTTCATTAAATGATTCATATTCTATTTAAAAAAGTGTTTTATTTTCATACAAGAAAATGTTTATTTTTTACTAGGTTTCGCCACAGGACACAAGAAAGAATCATGTGACTGCTTGTGCAAAGTGCACGATAGTAAATATGTCTTTTAGTAACTTTTTTCCTGATGTTTTTTTGTTTGTGTTTGTTTTCTTTTAGCCAGACATTTTGAAAATGTTTTGTGCTTGCTGTGTTGCTATGGTGAAGTGTTCAGTATTGTTTTCCTGTAAAGTGAATTCTCCTAGAGCTTCAGAAGGAAATTGCAGTCCTAGTGACAATACTTTTGATACAGAGGGGCAGTGAACTGAAAATGACATCCCTTCTTTAGTTTATTCTTAAAAATAAAATAAAAAACAGCGTGCTCTTCTCTACCAAAACTAGTGGGAATGTAGAACAAATGTTTTCTACATCTGTTATTTTATTGAATTGCATATTTATTTAGTGAGAAGCCCTACATTTTGTTCTGGATGTTGAAACTGTTCTGGAAAACCAAATTTTTTACTTCGCCTTTTTAAAAACTTAGCCTCATAGGATCAAATTAAACTTGGTGGGAAAGGGGAATGAGAAAGGGCACACGTGTTTTGTTTGTTGGTTTTGCTTTTACTTCTTGGGTGATGTTCACTGTTGATTGGATGAGAATATGTATTCTCATTCACCTGAAAATTCTCACAGGAAAACATGGATTTGATTGTAGGAAAAAATTAAAAGCCTTATCCTCACACAAAGGTGACACATCAGTGAGTTGGGCTGGAATTAAATGAACAGGTGCATCTTATCGCACCTCGATCTCTGTTAGAAAACAAACCAACTTGGCGCTTTCAGAGGTGGCTTTCTCATCCAGAGGCTGTGTGATAATACACCAAAGACATGGCATCGTTTGTCTCTTTTACCAGGGCGTAAGTGACACAGAAAACTTGATAAAAATTTTAACAGTGTGCCTTTCTTAGTACAATTGAGGTTTTGTTTTGTTTTTCGATATTAGTTCAGTACGGACACAAACAAGCATGAAGGGAGTCTCCCACAAGTGCTCCACATGACTTTTCATATAAGGAGAAAATAAGAAATGCATCCTTATGGTTTAGACTTCAGTAAAATAAATTTGTCAAAAGAGAAAGGAAGAGATTTCTGCTTCATAGCGTAGAAAAAAAGTAGATTCAAACAAGTTTTAATTTAGGTGTCTTGCTGTAAGCCTGTGATTTGACCTGGTCGTCAGTCAGACCAGTTATCTACCTCAGAGTTTTCCTCCTCCTCTGTATTCGGTTGGGATAGCAGATCCAGCCCGCCCTTCCGGACCAAACGCCACACTCAGGAGCTGGCCCTATACAGCTGTTTCCTTTCAGGTTGTTTTGAATACTGTTTACTTTTCAAACCTATTTTTGTATGATCTGTAGAGAGCCACCCTCTCGACTGGCAGTAGATTTCATTTGCAGTGTGAGAACATGTTAATTATTTTCGTCTTGGGTCGTGAAAAAGCAGCATTTCCTCTGTAGTTGGCTGAGAAGAGCGGGACCTGTAAAGGGCCTCTGTGATTATACTTGAATAATCTGTGTAACGCCTGAGACTGATGAGTAATAGTCATTGTGAGGTTCATGCTGCTAGAGGTGTCTGAACCAAGTGCCATACTTAAGAGTTGAACAGGTGCAAACATTAAAAACTGCTCAAGTAACAACCCCATTGAACAGTCATTAAATTATAGGGAAACCTTCTAACTTATAAAAACTTTTGTACAGACAGCTTGATGAGATTTTTCGACTTGTATGAAAGTTACTTTATTTCAAATTCGTGCCAAGGTAACTCCTATGTTCTGCATCTCACCTCTGTATTTTTGTTTTATAGTGTTTAAGACTTTTTTCAGCAGAATGTTTCCCAGGGATTATCCTGTTCCTTTTTAAAAAAAAATAAAAACAACAATGTGCTTTTGGTTTGTAAATGGGCTCATCATTTTTCCTTGTAAATGACGAGTGCATCTGTTCAAACTGATCTCACCCAGATGGCAATTTCGCATGTATTAATCATAAAATGACCTTATATCTTCTTCATGAGAGTTAAAGAGTTCATTTAAAATGCTCATAGGTTTTTGGAGGACGGCTGAAGACTCAGAGGTCTCAAATTCAAAGCTGTCTCCTACTTTGTCTCCCACTTTTAGTTGATAAATGTGAACCTGTAAAACAAGTAGAATATCTATCTGTCAGTGCCAGTTCTTGATGTTATGAGAGTTTCTTCTAAAAAAAAAAGTATTTATCTCAATAAGAAAATAGGCAAATCTAACTCAAACTAACTCAGCTTTGAACAGCAATACATATATTTCTTTAAACTACTGATTGACTGAAGATGCATACATATACTTTGATGAACATAGAAATAGACAATTAAACATCTGTTTAGTTCCCCATTAACTCGGCAGCTGTCAAAGGTCACTTTGCTGTCAGTTTTTTTTAAATAAATCAGTGAGCAGACTTTACTAATGTAACCATGGCATTCTCTGACCTTGCACATTAATCAGTCTTTCAGATATCCACTCAGAGAATTAATGAGATGTTTTTATCTCCAGCAGCTGGTTAGACATGATTCAATGGGGAGATATGATGTCTTCAGATATGAAAATAAATAAAATACATGCTGTTTTTCATCCATTACATAAAACCTTACTGAGATCAAATATCTCTCAAACTTCCGTTTCTTTAAGCGTTAATGTCTGAACGCTGAACTTGAGCTCAGCCTTGTCTTGATGGTAGTGAGGGAAACTGTGCATCCATAGTCCTTTAAGCAAGATGTTAAGCGGCTTGAGATTGACCGGCAATATTTATGATCTGCGTTGCTGTCAAACCAAAAGGTGAGGCCCTGCTAAGAACTATATCAACACTGTCACATGGTATTGATAACAACATGCATGGCACTGGACAGGGCGGGCCCGGGTATCAGGGGCTAAGGCATAGGGCGGGTGCTTGGGGGTGCACTAATAACTTGGATGTAGCCGTCTGCGAGCAGGCCTCTCCATGGCAGATGGGTCCCCCGCAGTATCCTGCAGAGTGTTGTGCCACCCTACGGGAAGCCACCATCTCCAGGCGAGGAGCAAAACTCACGCTCCAGCTGTCTGTTTTTGTGCCACATGCGTCTACAAGCAGAAGAGTTGAACCCTCCCACCCCTTCTTTCTTGCTAACAATCCTCCCCTCCCCCATCTACCCCCACGTTTCTACCCTCTCTGATGCCTATGTGGAGGAAACAGCTTTTTCCTACTCACTGATATCCTCTGATCAGGAAACATTATTTATTCATTCTAAGTCTAATACATGAACATACATCCTGCCAAACCCACCACAAAGATTACAGTGAAAGCAATACATCTTTTTTTCCTTTAACCCAAAACAATAGAACACTATATTTTACACATATTAAAGTGACATGTCTTCTTGGTCAAATTGCCTGGCTGCAGAAAAGTCACATCTGCAGTTCAAACCTCTCACGGAAAATAAGACACAGGAGGCTCCAGAGAATTTCTGAATGACTGTAATGCTGTTTAAAGAAGAAGTGATACAACAGGCTGGTAAATGTGTCCTTATCAGTTTCAGGCTGTCCAAAAAGAAAATCATTTTTGGTTTCAACATCTATTATGAAGTCACATTCTTCAATTAAAGAAAAATAATTTTACACATCAATCATAGGGAACAGTGACATTCACCTGTCAAGTGAACATAGCTGTAATTATAAGGAGACTGACAAATACATAAATGTGGGCTGTTGCAAAAAACTCTGAGAAATACATCAAGAATTGATAAATAATTCATATATAATTCATTCAGACAAAGTCACGTGTCGATCAGAAGACTTCAGACAGTAAGGGCTGAATAATCTACGAAAACAGATCAGCATAAACCAAAAATATCATAGCAAACCGAGTTTTAAAAGATGAACACGTGCATTTCCCCCCCTGTTCCCTACGGCAGTTTGAGGTGGCCGTGCGTACGGCACCATCTTGTGGTTCCTGAACGCAACTTGATGCAAAATAATCTGAAACGTTCTTTATTTACGTCAGTGTGACGGCTGAATTGCCAAGGAAACATTTCCACACAGTTCGGCTATTCACAAAGTTTATGTAATTCCTAAAGCGTGATTATAGTCATTTTTCAGTGGTCCAATTTGATTTATTTTTTGGGTGTTGTAAAGTGGGCGGTAAGCGTGAGAGGATGATGGCTGCGCGCTGTCCATTGTTCAGACCTTGCATGTAGTGGGCTGGTCACTCCTCTTTAGGTGGGTGGGATTACATTAATGCTATTTGAATCTCTGGACTCGAGCAGCGGTCGGTCGGTCAGTCAGTGAAGTAGTCTGGTGATTAATTGAACCGTCATGGAGTCACGAAAGAAAAGTCAGCGTCCCCGGTCTTTCATAAGCTGTGTTTTCCTGCTGTGTGTGCACCTACAGTCGGCTGGCGCTGGAGGTAAGAGTCTCAAACCGCCCCCGTCAGCCGAAGTAATACAACATTTTGTGAATCCTCGTCTATTTATCTTTTTTTTAAAACTGGATTTAACGTCGAGCATGTCTATCGGTGGCCCCCCAGCGACCCCGTCAACTTTCCTGAATGTCGACACACTGTTGCTGAGCAGACTGAGGGCGCGTGCCGATACAAGCTAAAGAGTGGCTAGTTGCGAAACCCCTTCGTGAAAAAGAAAAACGTTTATATTTCACGCTTTACGGGTGACATGAAGCAGAAACGCGAAAACGGAAGGGGGGGGACATAGTGGAAGTATCTTTCTGCGACACACGGAGGTCAAACAGCGCCAGCCTCCCTAAAAACGACGCCAGAACGGTCCTAAAAGTTTTCACCGACAAACTGGACACTGGTGAAGGAGAACTGGTGTTTCAAGTTGAAACTAACCCTCATAGCAAAGCTGCGACTACTTCTTTAAACTGTGTGTACACAGCGTTCGTCCTTCGAGACTGTTGACTGTCAAAAATAACCTTTGACACCACCAAACTGCTATCTAGTCAGCTGGTAGTAGTTCCAACAACGCACAGGCAGAGGCCAGGTTTAGCTGGTGAAGGTTATGTCCGTGTTTAAAGGAACTGCTGCACGTGGATCTGAACATTTGGGAAGGCCTCTACATACTTGTTTTCACCCCTGAAGCCAGGGTTTTTTTGGTTTTGTTTTGTTTTTTTGCATGCAAAAGGTAACATTGATCAAGTTCACATCTCTCCTAAACAAGACGGTGTTCCTAAACTGCCTGAGAGGGCCCATTTGTATGTTTTTATCTATCACTTTAAGGATAAAAGCAATGCCATGTCTCATAAAGTGGGTAAATGTATTTTTACACCGGAAATGCTGGGCACCGTACATTATAGGAAGACTGTGTATGAGCACAGAAAACAAAAAACTGTGTTGTGTGTGTGGAAGCGTTCCTGTGCTGAGTGAGCAAAACACAGCAAGCCTCAAAGGACAACAGTTCATCATTTGAGACCGTGACTGGATTGGAATCCGTTCAGCCAGTCCAAGCTGAGTCGCGTGATCTCAGTCCTGTTGAGCTTCTTGCTGAACACCAGATTAAAATGTTTGGCTTCCAGTGACTGCCCTTAAGATGCTTCTCTTTCTTTTTTCGTTCTACCTCTCAGATTGCCCTGCGGATGGGCGCACCTGGGTACCCTCTGCAGACAGATGTTACCACTTTGTTCATGGAGAAGAAGACCAAATCAAAAGCTACACCTTTGAGAGAGCAAAATCGCTCTGCCAAGGCTTTGGTACGTGAGACGTGTTGTTTTTCTGTATCTTTGAGTGGGCTGTTCTCTGAACATGCATGTGTTGCTGTGGAGTCATAACTGTTTTCTTTTTTTTTTTTTTTTTTTTTTTTGGGGGGGGGGTGGTTTAGAGCTTCTGACCATCCAGAGTGCTGACGAGAACAACTTTGTCTTGAGTTATAGCCCGAATGTGTGGATAGGAAACGTCAACGTGTGGCTTGGGATGTATTACGACACAAACAGTAAGTGGCATGTGGCCAGTGGGGCATGGAAACTCACTGGCTACTTTCAAAACACAAGCGCTGATTCTTAATTGCAATCAGAAGCCGACGGTTTAGAGGTATTCAGAGTTAACTAGGGGGGAACGTTAACGTTGAACCTGACAGGATTGTGCTGTGCTTTAAAGAATACAAGGAAATCCTGTTGGTGTTGTTGCTGTGCTGCAGTCACGGGGGACACAGCTGGGGGTACTTACCGACCAGGACGAACAAAATACAGCTTTGGATGTAGTTAGATGTTGCTTGTTGGTTTCAGAGTCCTCGCTCTAGCCTTGATTCTGTAAATACTGGAAGGACGTGACAGGAAGAGCTACAAGAGATGCTCAGAGGTGATGTTTGTTGTTTCCTTTGAGGTGACACCATGAGGTGGTTCGGCGAAAAGCCTGTCAGTTTCTCAAACTGGGAGAACTCCTCTTCCGTGTCCGACCTGCTGCCGGTGGACACGTGTGTCACTCTGCACACCAGCTCTGGAAAGTGGGAGAAGGTCAGCTGCACGGATGAAGTGGAGAACGGCGTGGTCTGTGAGACGGCTCAGGGTGAGGCCGAGTTGTGTTTTACCTCTACAGTTCTTTCATTGATTGTTGTTATTTTCTCTGAACTAATCTAAACGGTTTAATTACACAAATAGGACTGTGTGTAGTGATTTTACTACGTGAGCTTTGGAGATGTGGTTGGGTTTCTTGTCTCTTAATGTCTTTGTTTGTTTGTTTTCCAGAAGCGGAGCCGGCCAGACAGAGTAAGTCCGCCTCTGTTGTTTTATTGTCGTTTCTTTGTATTCCTGCGCCACAAGTCGCTGTGAAATAATTGGGGCCTTCCTTGCATTGTAACTTGTCCTCCTCAGAGCCTAACGCGCTGCTCTCCGCCCTGGTCATTCTCAGCGTGGTGGCTGTGGTGGGGGTCTCCGCAGTGATTTGGTTCCTGCACCAGAAGAACAGTCCTGGCTCCTCCATCTTCACAGCATTCGAGTTCCACCCTCCCTTTCGAGTCCTGGACACAGACCAGTCGTGCCTGGTGGAGGCTGAGGAGACTGACAGCATGCCATAGGAGAACTTTTTCACTCTTCTGCCATACAAAACACCAGACCCCCATCTCACTGGGTGGGCGTTTGTGCAAAGACAAGTCCACTTGCTTATCAATTGCTCGAACAGTTTTGGGGTGGCGCATGTGAATGGCTTTGACTCCGATGGGATGAAAACTGACAAAATCTCACTGATATTAACTTCTTCACTAACGCACGTGAATATTTCTCATCCTCTTTCTTAATCATCTGCAATAAGGACTCGTTTGTAAAATCTCTCGATAGGTTGATTGTTATCAAAAGGTGATTGAGTTACTGTAAGTCCACTTCCTTAAATCCTTTTCGGATGGCAGTTTCTCTTGAGCATATCTGAATAAGCTTACTTATTTTTTTATTTTTTTTTGTCGGTGAAGGAATTTAAAGAGTATAGTGTTAATGTTGTGTTCCTGCAAGTTCCTCAGCCAAAAAAAGGGAGACTGAACAACCATCATCGTGGTTTTGATTGGAATTTTCTTGATATCTATATGATCATTCACAAACATACATACAGGCAACCATGCTGTCATACTTTCTGAACCTGGTGATCTGATTAAAACCAGCCCATGGCAGCATGCGCTCCCTTTTTCCATAGTTTTGTTACATTCTTTGCTGGGAATTTCTGTGAAATGGGTTTAAAGTCTTTCTGGGTCAGTGTCTATACACAGGACTCTCCCCTAGGCTGTCAGTGGCACATATCAGCGGCCAAATCCAAAAAACCTGAACCCTTACGGTATGGAAAAGTGCCTGTTTATTTGTGTATGAACAGAAGTGTCATTATATTTCTCTCTTCTTTTTTTTTTTTAAACTCCAGGTGAGACGTCCTGAGCATGTTTCCTGTCTTTTGGGTGAAGCCTTTACAGCATGTTGTGATCTGTTTAGCACCTCTACACCAGCCTTTGTTCAGGGAGTGGGACAGCCTTACTAACTTATGTTTTTAAGGAAGTCTGTGAATATTCAGAGGTAGATGGTTTTGTACTGACCATTTCAGTTGTTTGGGCTGAATGCTTGCCAATATTTGTTTTTTGTTTTTTTGCACAACTTTTACCGGGACAAATTACCTGACCTCTTGTGTCTTCAAATCTTTTTGAATGACTATCATGAGAGTAGTATACATTTAATTTAATCTATGTGTTATGTGTGTGCCATATTTTAAAATACATTTTAACACTTTGTTTTTAAATTAAATGTCTCTTTTCTGCCCTAGAAAATAAAATCCAATCATCAACTTTAGGAAGTTAAAAATATGAATGCCAGTAACAGGGCTTAACTAAGTTTCTTAGAATCATTGCAGGAATCTACATCTTTGGGAGACCTTTCAGTATTTAACTGCATTTGCACACAGTTTGAACCGCCACTGTTGATTTATTTTTGCTGTTTTGTACCTTCTTTCAAGATTGAATATTTTAGCTGTGATCGATTTTATGTGACCAAATGAGTACATTTTGCAATCATTTGGGCTTTTTTGGAGCCTCTATGTGCTTGCATAATAAAATATATTTGACTCTACTTTTTTAGAATGTATCTATTAATACTTTGGTTCAAAAGTTCTGTTAAGAACAGCTTCCATTATTTCCCAAAATATACCCGGCAGCTTGAGGTTGTCAAGTTGGAGACAAAAAGGATTGATGGTTCAGTTCCATATAGAGCATTCCTACTAAATATACGCATGTCAATGCATAATTAAGATGAAATGGATGAATTGGGACATAGAACTGGGGATGGAGTCTAAATCTAAAAAGACCTAAATCACTGTCATTTGAAAAACGTCACTCTGGAGAACCAGTGGCTCTGTTGACATGCAGCTGTGAGCCAAGCTGTGGCGGAGATGGCAGGATTTTTTCTTTCTTTTTTTATTTTTTGTTGTCTGCTTTTACGCCTATCCAATTTTAGACTTCCAAGAACTCTGTCATCTGACATATTCTCTCCAGTCAGAGCTGTGTTTGTTTCTTTGAGTATACATCCTTTTGATGTTTTCCGTATCCTCTGATGAATTCTCAAAGGCTGATGTGGACCAACATTTAAACATGTGGGACATTATCATAGAGCATACCAACAACCTTCTTTCCCTTTAAGCATTTCACTAAAAAAAAGGAATTAAGAAAACAATAATCTATTTTTGGACATTTAAAATAATACTTACTATTTGCAACAATTAGTCTTGTTGTAAAAAAACAGTACACAGTACAAAAACCACATCATGCACTTTTGTTAAATTGTTTTTATTCCTTTATTCTTTACCATGTACACACAATTATACCTTCACACATGTATCATCATCAGTTTGTCAGACACATTCCGTTTCTGTATTGACTGACAAAGTCGTCTCCAAAGAGAAGTATCAGAAGTGAAGTCTGATCCCTTGCTGCGGCCCTTTGAAGGACCGTGGGATTTGTCAGCCTGCAGGCACTAGATGGTGCAATGGGCTCTGTTTTGTGAGTGAACCCCACTGTGAGCTGAAAATAGCTGGTGTTTGCATGCATGTTTCTGATTTTCCCCACAGAAACCTAAAGTTAAGTCTCAGTGATAAACTGAATAACTGGTTCATTTCAGCTTTTCTTTCATCTCATATATGAAATCATGTGTCAAGCAGCAGTGCTTTGTGTTGTTTTCAATCTCCAAAACAGAGTTCAAAGTCATGGGCCATAAAAGTAACTTTATTCATATCCTATAATCGAATATGTATAAGACTTTAGTACTGTCAGTAAATATGATGAAACATGTGAGACCGAGTCTGAATTATGGCTCAAAGGGCCTCTCGCGGGACAGAAACTACACAGTCTTTAACTTCATCAGTTGGATATTTTCTAATAAAAAGATGTGGAAATAAAATAATTTAATCTGAGCAGAACTGATGGTTAATTTCCTGAATTGTACATGGAAAAAAAACATCAGAAGCTTAAAACATGGTCTGCTATCACTAGTTATGATTGACAGGTCTTAATATAGAAACGATTAGATCAAGCGACTGTGTGAGCTTTAAACTGGGGACAATCGAGGGCAGTGTGGATGAGAAATCCTCACAATTATACCCTTTGAAAATCCAGACAAATTCTTTTCTGAAACTATCTTTCTTCAATTTTCAGCGGCAACAAATTGAAATGCCATAGTATGACATACACATATAAGAAAGTTCTGAGTGGGACTTTAATAGCTCTTTATCTCACCTTAAAGTGGTTCAGTTTAAAAAAAACAAAAAAACTGTTGATAATATTTCTGCAAATACAGAATGATCTGTGCTTTTTCCCTACTGGTGCTAATAGGTGTTTTGGTCTGTTATTTAAGGTCAGCACAGAAGCCTGTATATACCTGCAGATAAAACCTGTGAGACTAAATGGTTTACTTTTTAGACCTCTGCCATTCCCATAGCTCCACAAAACCTATTTTCCATGTAACTGGGACATATGTGTTCTATTGTCACAACAGGGCAGTTGTCTCATTACAGAATCTGTATTGGCCTACTTTTAGTCCAACAACAGCAAATGAATTTCAACCACACATCTGCCACACTCCTGTTTGGAGAGTGAAGAGGAGTCCACCTTCACCTACAATGACTAACTAAAATGTCTGTATACTGTGATATATGCATGAAGATGGAATAAACGTGAATGAACAAATTATGTGTGAAATACACGTAAATAAATAATTACAATAATTATTATTATTTGTAAATAAACATGATTAATGTTTCTTCTTTTTCTGGCTATAATTAAGAATTCTGCTCGATATCAGTTGTTCATACCCATATGTTATTTTTTCTGTTTCTGTTGTTTTCCTGCAAAGGAGCCTTTGAAACCTGTTTTTTTATATGCAGATCCTGGATGTCTCATGTGCCTTTCCTATTCTGCCTCCCTGAACATGCTCCAATTAACAAGAAGAAAGCAAGATATTACATGGATAGCTGCTCTTTGGCAAGGCATTCTAAATATAGTATACTCATTTCGATATCAAGAAGAAACTGCAATTCGTCACCTCTGTTCTGAGACTAATATGAATTGTGTTTCTGTCTTTTGTACAGCCATCTCAATCGCAAAACAGAATGCCTGCAGTTTTAATTATCTTGTGATGGTGCAAACAAACAGTTAATCTTACTGTTATTTTAAAGATAGAGTAAATCTGGTACAATTCAGGGTTGCATCTAAAGCAAACACAGTTTTTGTTATTGCTTACAGTCAATCAGACTGTGTGCACACAAGTGCATCAGGGACTTCAAAGATGAAATTGTGCCATTTTCTAAATCAAATGCATTGTCAGTGCTGGGGAGCTTTTGTGAAAGAGGGATAAGAGCAGAGTGCATTGATATGATTAAAGTCTGTGTCTAAATATGTCAGATTAAATAAAAAAAAACAATATCAATAATAAAAAAAAAATGGCATTGGCTCCTACTCCTGAGCCTGAGGGCTGATAAAACAAACACACATCTTAATTTGTTTTCCATCTGTCTCTATAGAGATGATCTTTGCTGTGTCCCTGGTATCTCATTATACTTTCTAATCATGACGCTTTTAAAAAATCTCTTTAAAGGAGATAGAGAATTTGCCCTTCCCCCCAGATTGCTGCTCGCACTGCGGCTACAGACAAATGACCAAAGGGGGTGGGACTGACATTTTGATTTTACGTGACACTGCTTTGATCGCTTCCATCGTTAATTTTTTACAATTAAAATCCTAGGTATCTTGCGGCTTGGGTGACAAATCCATCAAATCATTGTTTTTCCCCCTCACTGTGTGTGTTCATCCAGCCATGTGCACGTTTGTATGAGAGTTCCTGTGAGAGCAGTGACTTCAACCACAGAATTAAAAAGAAGGAAAATCAATGGACGCAGGGGACATTAACCGAGAAGATAAATACATTTTTTAAGTGAACATGCTCCTATTTTTTTTCACCCTGGGCACTTGAGGCCTTAAACAGTGTATTCACTAAGCTGAAAGTATGCCATGGACAGTGTCGTCACATGTCGTCCCACTTTTATCAATGACAAGACTTATCTGACATTTCTTATTAATGACAAATGTAGATACCAAAACAGAGATTTCAATTCTGAGGACAAAAGATGATAAGTCACTTAATTTAAGCGTGAATGTTAATCGATGTATACCTTAGCCATGTGAATGTAATGCAGTCTATTTTTGTTTCCTCGAGCTCATTGATGATAATATGTGGTATATTTCATCCAAATTCAGTGCCACCCTTCTTATTCCATGTTTTGTTGATTCGGTGTGCATTCACCATCATTTTATGCTCTCCTCTGTATACCTAGCTATGAAAACTCCAATATTTTGTTGTAAACTGCTTTTCTTTTACATGAAGCGTGTACAGACACTGGTACAGAATACCCTTCATTTGTATTGCTTGAAGTAAAATGCCTATTGATAAAATCTACAGTGTGTGTGTATGTTTGTTTTGTGAGAATGCTGATTCAGCGTTTAGCCTCAGAAACACACTGCCCTGATAAGCTAAGCTTAGTTGTTCATTTGGTGTAAAAATATTGACAGTTAGAGGTACAGTTTTTTTCCAAAAAAGGGGAGTTTAAAGCCATTTTTTAGTCATCTGATATTTACGTTAGCTGCTCTGCTTAAGAGTTTGACAATTTTTCAATAGAACTTTGACCGTTTTCATTTTCATTAGTGTTCAGCTCCATGTTAAACCTCAGTTTCTGCAACCTTTCTTTCCATCTGATTGTCCCGTCATCTGACATTTGACCTTTGGCATGAAGCTTTTCCTCTCATGGCCTTTCATTTTAGTGGTGTGTTTGGAATGGTTCATTATTAAGCCCCACTGAGGACCTGGCTTTGGTTCTTGCGGAGTCAGGCCATGTCTGTTCGTGTGCCCGTGTCTGTGCACAGTCTGCTCTGGTCTGCTCTACCTTTTTTACGCAGTAAGACCAGCCTCATCTATTGTCCTTTCACTTTGGGATGACTTGTTGTCACATTTGAACGTGTTTGTCAGCTGACGGCGGAGTTTCCTGGGCATCCGCTGGCACGTGCAGCAGGACACTGGTTCTCAGGAGCAGCTCTTTCTAGTTGGAATTATTTTTTTCCTGTCATAAGTTGACAGATTGGGCACCTGGTTGCAGACGCTCTGCAACCAGGTGACGTCATCTCACCGGAGTTGCTCGGGTGACACGGAGGAGAGGCTCTTCAATCTGCGACCAGGAGACCAACAGACTCAGCCGCGCTGCGAGTCGGACTCAATCACTGACCGTTTACCTCCTCTGTCAACAGACAGCTGACAAACTGCGAAGTTTACCGGTTTCGCCCTTTTAAAGGAATACAAGCTGTCCCCCCAGCGAAAAGGTGAGTTTATAACCTGAGCTGGCTCTCGTGGCGCTTTTTAACCGTAGGCTCCGTTAAGATGCTGGTTCGAAGGTTTCTGTCGCGAGGACTAACCGCTAAGCTAACGCTCCTGTGCCAACTGGACCAGTTCTCCACACCTGCCTCACTGAGCCCTCACTGACATCAGCACATCGTCCAGAAAAGTTTGGGGAAGTCCTACAAAAAACCAAAAAAAGAAGAAGAAGAAAAGTTTTTAAAAAGTGGATGTC